CCTCCTAAGAACCTGCAACTGGTATAGCATGTCTGTTGCCGCAGTTCTACCAGTTAAAGCAAGTCCCGGGGCCAACCCAGATTCAACGGGAGGGGATGGAGCCGCCTTTTGACAGAGGAACAGTGCGAATGTAGAGGAATGGGACAAGTTGTTGGCAGACATCTTTGCAGACAAAGGAAGCCACAGGAGGGAGCTGCTCAAGTCAGCTGGAGAAGCTTCTTTGAGAGGAGGCACAGGAATGAGAGCTGTTTGGTCATGATTTTTATTTTCTGTATCTTATGATGCTTTGAAATCTTGGGGGCCTTGCTAGCTGGGGAGAGACTGCCTTCCCCAGGGCTAGCTAATTCCTAGAGATCGCAAACGACTTGCCTGTGAACACACTTTTCACATACAAACCAACCAATCCAGAGCCCACACTGCCAACCACCTTCTTTACCTAACTCACGCACCAAGTCAATATTCCCCTGTCCTAAATCACTGCAGGGCCAGGTGTGGAGCAGATTCTGGGGACATCTTAAGACAGAGGCCAGGAGCTTGGAAGGATGACCTGTGTGGCTTTTGAAGTCAGGGAGAGTTCCTGCGAGGGTGGTACTGATGGGAATCACAGTGAATCAGGAGCTTGGGCCTGCCCTGCCTTTTGGAGTGCAGTGGATTATGATTCTGAGAAAATGAGAGTTAAAGCTGGGAGCTTTTTTTGAGGGGAGGGATGGTCTAGAAGCGGTGATAAGGAACCAGACCCAGAGGTACATGGTTGTGTGAAAGTAAATATCCAGGGGAAGCCAGGTTACATGGGAGCAGAAAGAGGAAAGGGATGTTTAGAAATAAAAGCAGCAGGGCATGTGCGCTGATGGTGGTTATGAGGGCACAGCAGCAGTTTCCAGAACATGTGATGCCTGCGCAAGGGGGTCGGAATAAAGGACGTGCAGAGGGGTGTAGGGGTCCGATTGTGGGAGATGAAAGGTGATGTGGGATAAAGGCCACACATTTTCTGTCCTCATTTACTCCATCTCAGCAGCAGCAGCACAATCTCTCTCCCTACTTCCGGAAACACTTCCTTCTTGACTTCTGTGTGGAAGATGACATTTGGCATTTTTGGGCCGCTCACAATCCTCCCCCTTCCCACGGGCACCCTGAACTCCTCGTTCAGGAATTCCCCCATTTGTGTACTTTTGCCAGGAAAGTGTCTTAAGCCTGGCCGATCGGACCCTCCCTCCCAGAGCAGCAGATGCCCAGGAGCCTGGTGAGGCCTGGGGCTGCCCATTCCTCTGGCCGTCCCTTTCCTCAGCCTGGCCCGGCGGAGCCCTGCCGCCTCTCAGTTCCTTCTCCTTCTGTTGGAGGGCTAGATTAGGTTTCTGTGGCTTTCGCCCCAAACTCTGACGTCATCAGCACCTTGACTTGAGTTACCATCCACCAGCAAGGGTTTCACAAATCTCCAGTGTCCCGAGACACGCGTAGAAGAGCCTAGTCCGCTCGCGTGCCGAATGGGCGTCTCGGACTCTGCTGGTCACCACTTTCTCCCATCCTCAAAGCAGCCTGTACCACGGCCAGGCCTCTCCAGCACGAAACGCCACCGCATTCGCCCAGCTGTCCGGACCAACGCCTGGCCTCCCCTGGCGCCCACCTCGGGCGCCCGCGGCCGCTTCTCCCAGCTGCGCGCCCCTGCCGCCTCCCAGGCACCTCACGCTGCGCGCGCGCGCGCGCCCCGGGTACTGAAGCCGCACGCCCCGGAGCTCTCTCCCCACCGAACGCGAAGTCGGCGTGCGCCCCGTCTCGGAGCCCTGCACACCCCGCCCCGTGGCGTCCGCCCTGCGCTCCTCCCGTGCGCTGCGGCGGCAGCGGGGCTCCGCGACGCCCCGCCGCGGCCGGGGGGATCCGCACTCTCGGCTCCGGCGCCCGGGCCGCGTCGCTCCCCTGGGACCCCGTCCGAGCGCCAGCACGGCGCCCGCGGCGAGCAGAAGGAAGCGACGCCGAGACCCGGCGGGGCCTCCAGGGGCCTCGCGCCCCCGCCCGGACACCGGCCCACCCCTCGTGACGTCCTTCCGTGCCGCGATGCGGGGCGCGGGAGACCCGGGGCGGGCCGGCCGGCCGGAGTGCACCCTCCCCGCGAGCCCGCCGCGCCCGGGGCGGAGAGTGAGCAGCGGGCGCCGGCCCGGCCCGCCCCCCGGGCCCCCGGCCCCCCGGCCCCCCGGCCCCTCGGCAGGTGAGCCGGCCGCGCTCCCCGGGCAGCAGGGGGCGCTCGTGCGCCGGGTTCCCGCGAGCGCGCCCGCCCTCCCCGCTGCGGGCCGGGCGGGGCGGGGCCGAGGCCTGGGGGCGGGGCTGGGTAGGATGGGCGGGGCCGAGGGCTAGGGGCGGGACCGGCCATGGTGGGCGGGGCCGGCCGTGGGCGGGGCGGGCCGGACGGGGAGCGCGCCGGCGGGCGGGGGCCAGTGCTGGGCCGCCCGGCCAGGGCGCGGCATGGGGCGGGTGCAGCTCTTCGAGGTCCGCCTGAGGCACGGCCGCGTCGTCTACAGCCCGGGGGAGCCGCTGGCGGGGGCCGTGCGCGTGCGCCTGGGGGCGGCGCTGCCCTTCCGAGGTGGGCGCGGGGTCCCAGCGGGGGAGGGCCGGTGGGGCGCGCTCAGGTGGCCGGGCCCGCACCTGCGGCGGGGCCGGGGCTCCCGGAAGCAGCTGCTGGTGGCCGCCGGCCGCCCTTTTCTGCCCCTGCTCCGGCCGGGGGCGCATGGGCTCCGCTCGGCCCCGCCGACTGCGGGCGGGTCGGGGTGGGGCAGGCCGGGCGGCGCAGACCCGCCGCGGGGAGGCAGGCGGCGGTCGGGGCGGAGCGGGAGGCCCGGCTAGCCCAGTCCTTCCGCATCTGCCCTTCCTGCCCTCTCTGCCTCGCGGCGGTCGGAGCCGGGAGCGAGGGCTTAGATCTTTCCCACCTGCTGAAGACCCCTCTGACCTGGACACTCGCGCGCCTCCGACCTTCCCTGTCGGTCCAGAATCCGCTGCGCCCCGCGCCTGCTAGGTCCCCACCTGGGGCCTGGCCCACGCCGGGCTTTCTCTGTCACACACCCAGGCTCCTGGCCAGGCCCTCGCTCTTCACAGACAGTCCGCCGAGAGTGCTGGTCCCCAGTAGAGCCCACCGGGCACCTGCTTACTAAACCCAGCCTAAGCTCGTCCTCGCCGCCCTGGCCCAGCGGACATTTAGGAGCTGAACCTGAGCCTCCTCTGGCTCAGTCCCTCTGCTGGTGCAGACATCTGGGACTTCGGGATTGGGGATCGGGTTGCTGGCAGCTCTTGCTAGGGCTCTCCGCAGGTGCTGGCCTCATCTGCCCACTGAGATGTGAACAGGGATCTGGACGGGACTTCACGGCCCGGCGCACAAGAAGGGTGGGCAAAGTGCAGCCCAGGGCCTCTCTGCTTGATCACTGGCTCCAGGTTTGAGGTTGTATGGCACGTCCCTTCTGGGGCGCTTCTCCACCTTGGGGTGCTTGGCCCTTACCACAGCTGCCGTCCCGGCTTCCCTCTGGACCGGGCCCCTCCTGGCCCCTGCGTATTTCATGGCTCAGTGCTTTTGGTGCCCACTGAGGACTGAGGGCCACTGTCCTCCTCTCTGGGTAGCCTCTGCCTTGTCCGGGATGGGTCTCACCCCCGACCTTGCCACTGTTTGAGACTGCAGGGGTCTAGGAAGAAGCTGAGTGTAGGTGCCTCTTGTCAGGCGTCTGGCCTTGTGGAGCCTTCTCCCGGTAACTCTGTCACCTCCTTTCCTGTCTCCCTAGTTGGCGTTGGGTGGGGGTAGGTGCAGCTGTGGCAGGGTGCATGGCAGGGCAGTGCAGCTGTTCTATGGGGCACGAGCCAGAGCTGAGAGGTGACCTGATGCTAGAAGGCTCCTGGCTGAGGGGAGAGCGAGATGCAGGGGCACAGGAAGGAGGGGCAGGCTCGTGGCTGGTGGGACAAACAGCCGTGACAGAGACCCCACATAAGGCTCACCACCTGGCTCATCTTCCCTGTTGCCCTGCTGTAGCTGGGACCCAGGGTGAGCAGGCCACTGCTGACCACAGTGAAGGGATGGCCCAAGCTGTGTGTAACTGGCCTGGGCAGAGCTCCCCGGCCTCCATGTGGCAGATGGGATATAGATGCATGGATAGCTGGGCCATAGGAGACCAAGGGAGCCCCCGCTATGGTCCCAACTATAAGAGTGCTAGCCGGGACCCTGAGTAGGGGAGGAGAGGGTGCCGTGGGCTGGGGAGCAGATGGACGACCAGCTGGGCCAGAGAGGGTGTTATTCAGGTTGCCTCCAGGGGTAGAGGGGATGTGGGTGCTGGGGCCGTGCTGGGGCTTCCTCCAGCCCTGCCTGGCTGTGGGAGAGGAAACACCGTGGGTTTTTTGTTTCTTCTTTCATTCAAAAGATACTTTTTGAGCTCCCACTACCAGCCAGTGATGCAAGGGGGAGGCTCTCCACCCCACAGGAGGACAGAGAGGAAGGGAGAACAGCAGGCCTGCCCTGCGGGGCTCCCAGTCTTGCCTACTCAATACCTGTCTGGGGGGTGACAGTGGTATCTGCACTCAGCCGTGAGGGCTCTGTCTGCCTCTGGAGCTGATGCGGAAGAAATCTGGGGAAGGAGCCATTTCCTGGAGCCCAGGTCCAGCCCAGCCTGGGGCTGGGGGTCAGGCAGTGCTGCCCTGTGTTCTGCTCTCAAGGTGAACGACAAGGCAGGGTGATGCCCCGACAACAGCAGCAGCCGGCCGCCAGCTCTGCCAGCTCCCTGAGCTCTCATCGTGGGCCAGGTGCCATTCTCCCCAAGTCCCATGAACCAACTCCATGAATCCTCATAGCGACCGTGGGAGGTGGGCGCTGTTCTTATTCTCTTGTTACAGATCTAGGAATAGGACAAAGGGAAGTGGCTTGCAGGCCAGAGCTTCACTGGGAGGATATGGCAAAGGCCAGGCTGCCCCAGGTTTGTGGGCATTGGCTGAAGGTGGTCCAGGTGAGAGACTTTTGGAGCCAGCAGAGGTCTTCCCCGTCAGACAGCAGGTGCAAGGGAGGAGGGCTGCTGAACAGGTGGGAGTGCTGGCTCAAGAGGAAATTTCCAGAAGTCATCTGGAACACAATCCACATGATGATTTTCTTTAGAGAACCGGGGCAGCCCCAGATCTCCAAAGATGAATGTCTGTCAGTTCAGTGCCTGCCTTTCGTTATGCATCTGGACACTGTTACAACTAACACTCGTTTTAAACCTAGATGGCACAGCATGGTATGTTGTTTTGCAGCCTGTACTTGGTGCTGTGCAGTAGGTGGAGGCTGCACCTGCCAGAATGCACTTACCCCGTCCTGTGGCCATGCCACAGGGCGTGCATGCTGGTGCCATGGTCATGCTCACCTCTAGGAGCAGATACCCCCCTGCCAGGGGTAGGAGGGACAGGCCCACTGTGTGTCCCCAACCCCTGTGCCTCCATTGTTCCCCAGTGGAGGAGAGAGTGGACAGGAATGGGATGGTTTGACTCCCAGATGGTGATTGGAGGCTGCTTGTTGAGGCAGGGTCCCGGAAGGGGCCTCAGCATGTGTGCAAAAAGGGGCTCTTTGCATGGGCATTGGGAAGGTCACAGAGCTTGGGCCCCTCTGGGATAACCCAAGGATCGGTTTGACAGTGTTTGTTTTTCTGGGGTCAGGTGCCCCATGGCTTGTTCACCTGAGTTCTGGGGGCCAGATCCAGGCTGGGTGGGTCACTGTTTTAGCCGCCCTGCTGTTGGACACGTCTGCTATGCCTCAACTGTTTGCTGTTATGAGAAGTGTTGCTCGAGGCTCCTGGGTGAAGAGGGTGACATTCTCAGGAGAGCTGCTGGGTGCCCTGGTGTTGTGTGTAAAACTGCAGCAGATCTGCCTCCTTCTCCAGGCCCCGTATCAGCCCACAGTTTGAGCACCATAAGGGAGTGTCTCTTTTTCCACCTTCTCACCAAACATGTCAAAATATTTAATATTTGCCAGTCTGATGGGTTAAAATGGTAAGTCATCAGAGTTTCCCTGATTCCTAGTGAGGTTGGACACCTGTTCCTGTTATCTGCTGCAACGTAGGTCAACCCTAAGTAACAAATCACCCTTCAACTAAGTGGTTTAAAACAACTATTTCATTGTATCTCACACTGTCGTGGGTTGAGAATTCAGGCAGAGGTGGGCAGGGCGATTCTTCAGCTCCATGTCCCATCCACTGGGGTCACTTGACAGCATCGGCTGGCACTGGACCTGTCTGGGGACCACCACTGTGCCCCTTCTGACATTCTCTGTAGGTCCCGGCGTTCACAGGGCAGCCAATTCTGGGGGTGTGCGCCCTCCCCACAGAGACTCTTAAAGTGGTGTGGCACCTGGAATCACCCAGACGTCCTTTCGTTGGTTCACAGTCACGTCCCCTTGTCTGCCTGTTCTCTCTCCTGTTTCTCTTGGGTTGTGTTGGTCTGTAGGAGCACCACTGGTGTCCCAGATTTCTGGGGTAGGAGCAACTCCAGTTCTGGCCCTGGGAGGGGATGGCTGACACAACATGGATTAGAAATAGGGGCTGAGGTCTGGGTGGTGTGGCTGGTCTGGGACCAAGGCTGAGGGCCGGACACTGGCAGTGCCAACAGAGGTAGAAGACCAGCCAACGGTTTGTGGGCAGGGATGCCCGGTGCACTGTGTGACCATCAAGAGGTGTGCGTCAGCAAGGTGGGGCCAGCCTGGGGAAACCAGGACATGGCTGGTGTGGCTGACCCCGGCCATGGGCACTTGGGACACAGCTTCTTCCTGCCTGGCGGCTCTGTCAGGAGCTCATCAGATGCTGAGTCATCTGTCCCTCACCTGACCGTCAAGTCCGAGGAGGGCAAAGAGGGGCTGGGCAGGAGCTGGTCTTTGGCTTTGACTCAGCCCTGCAGGGAGAGGAGGGGTGGAGCCGCAGGGCTACCTGTCACTGAGCTCCCACCTCCTCCCTACTTGGGTCTCCAGCTGTGGTCCCCTCCCTGGTTGTCCAGCCACGGCCTTCTGACCATAGTGGGCTCTAGGCACACATCTGCTGGACTAAAGAATTCGAGTTCCTGACCACAGAACAGTGGCAGCAACCTCTGCTGTAAATGGTTCCTGGTCTGGGGAGTGAGGGAGAGGACTCAGAAAATCAGCCCTCTTGGGCAGTACTGGCCCAGGAAGTCAAGGGTGTCCCCACCCTCCAGTGTACCACACGGTTGGATACCTTATCTGCTCAGGCGGGTCTGACCACATTCCTGCAGCGTGAGGACTAGCAGTTAGCTTCCTGGAGTGGGAAGGGCTGCCTCCCAGCCTGACTGACTGGCCTGTGAGGCAGCACAAAGATGGGGTCGGAGGTCAGCTGCCCCATAGGTCTCTGTTCATCATCGATGTCCCAAGGATCTCCTATAGGGAACTGGGTTTTCACAGGTCTGCTGGGCCCAGGGGTAGCTGGGAGCCAAGGTTATCAGTTGGGGGTTGCCCAGGGGTAATCTGGGTGACCACAGGGGCCCTCTTGTTATGAACTGCAGGATGGATGTAACTCTGTGCCTCACCATCCTGGCTCCCTGGGAGTACCCCAGGGTGCTGCTGGCCCTGCCTGAATCCCTGTGCTGGGGTCAGGGACGGACCCAGGCCAGCAACTGGCTGGAACTCACACCACCCCCACCTTTGCAGCCATCCGAGTGACCTGCACAGGTTCCTGCAGGGTCTCCACCAAGGCCAATGATGCGTCATGGGTGGTGGAGGAGGGCTACTCGAACAGCGCTCTGTCGCTGGCCGACAAGGGTGAGTCCAGGAGCCTGCCCTCGCCTCACCCCACACAGTGACCCCTTGCTTGAGTGGGACCTGTCTGTCTACCCCACCTCCCCATCTGTACTGGCCCATCCTCTCCCAGGGCTGTGCACCTGCTGGATCTCTCTCCCTGGCAGGCACAGGGCATCACCTGATAGGGGCTGGGTGGCCCAAGGGGGCCCGCTTCCCCTAGTGCTGGATTTGGGTTGGAACAGCCCTGCCCCCCTGCCCCTCTTTGGGCAAAGCTCTTGTCCCGTCCTTTGCTCAGGCCACAGCCCGGTGCTGCTGTGGTGCTGGAGTCAGAGGCTGGGAGACCCAGCAGCCAGACACAGTGTAAGCTTGTAAGGTTGGCTGCAGTGCCTGCTCCTGTCCTGGGCCCTGTGGTGCTCCGGAGGTCCCCTCTCCATCACACCTCCCTCCTATCTCTGCAGGGAGCCTGCCTGCTGGAGAACACAACTTCCCATTCCAGTTCCTGCTTCCTGGTAAGAGCCCAGCCTGGCCGGGCCTGGTGGGGACAGTTGGTGGGGTGGTGAGTGGGAGGTAGGGGCGGGTGACAGTTAGGTACCAGTCTCTGGTCTCTCTCCAGCTGCAGCGCCCACGTCCTTTGAGGGCCCCTTCGGGAAGATTGTGTACCAGGTGCGGGCCACTATCGACACGCCGCGTTTTTCCAAGGATCACCAGTGTAGCCGCGTGTTCTACATCTTGAGCCCCCTGAACCTGAACAGCATCCCAGACATCGAGGTGAGGATGGGGCCGTAGCCTCCTGGATGGCCTGCACCTTTGCCCTGATGCCCCATCTCCAGCCAGGGTGAGGTGGCCAGGGTCTGGAATAGCAGCAGTCTGTCTGTCCTGAGCTGACTGTGCTGTGTCCAGGGGCAGTGTGTGGCAGGGCTGTGTGGGCTTGTCCAGCGGCTTCAGGGACCCAGCCTCCCACACCCACCAACTCCCTTCCTGGTTTTTCCCCTAAGCAACCCAATGTAGCCTCCACCACCAAGAAGTTCTCCTACAAGCTGGTGAAGACGGGCACCGTGGTCCTCACTGCCAGCACTGACCTCCGTGGCTATGTGGTGGGGCAGGTGCTGCGGCTGCAGGCTGACATCGAGAACCAGTCAGGCAAGGACACCAGCCCTGTGGTGGCCAGTCTGCTGCAGGTCAGAGTCCCCTCTGGCTGCCCAGGTGTGTCCTCACGGGGCTGGAGGAGAGGTAAGGGGCTGGCTTTCCCAGGCTCACAGGCTGGCCCTTCCCCAGAAAGTGTCCTATAAGGCCAAGCGCTGGATCTACGATGTGCGGACCATCGCAGAGGTGGAGGGGGCGGGCGTCAAGGCCTGGAGGCGGGCACAGTGGCAAGAGCAGATCCTGGTGCCTGCCCTGCCCCAGTCGGCCCTGCCCGGCTGCAGCCTCATCCACGTGGACTACTTCTTGCAGGTGCTCAGGGTAGAGGGAGAGGTGTGGGGGGTGGGGGGTGCACTGGCCTGGCCACTCACGCCTCCTCCTCCCCAGGTCTCCCTGAAGGTGCCTGAAGCCACAGTGACCCTCCCGGTCTTCATCGGCAATATTCCTGTGAATCACGCTCCGCTGAGCCCCCAGCCAGGCCCAAGTCCTCCTCCTGGGGCCCTGTCCCGGGTGGTGCCCTCGGCACCCCCCCAGGAGGAGGATGAGGCCATGGCCAGTGGCCCCCACCTTGAGGACCCCATCTCCCTCTTCACCAAGAGCCACTCGCAGCAGCAGCCACCACAGGCCGCCTTCGGCTCTGTGCCTGGCGCCCCTGAACTCCGTCCTCAGGATGGCAGCCCTGCTGCCCACCCTTTGCCCCCTCCCTTGTGCATCTCCACAGGTGCCACCATCCCCTACTTTGCAGAGGGCTCAGGGGGCCCGGTGCCCACCACCAGTACCTTGATCCTCCCGCCAGAGTACAGCTCCTGGGGCTACCCCTGTGGTGAGTGGGGGTCTGGGGCCTGGGGGGCAGGGAGTGCTGCGGGCCCCATGCAGACCTCGCTCTCTCCTCGCAGAGGCCCCGCCGTCCTATGAACAGAGCTGCGGCGGCGGTGCGGACCCTGGTCTGACCCCTGGGAGCTGACCCCTGGGAGCTGGCTCCATGCTGCCTTCTCTGTGCGGGCGGACCTCTGCCCTGGGATCGGGCGCCCAGGGCCTCGTGCCTTTGCTCCCGGCCTGGCCCGGCCCACTCAGGACCCTCCGTTGCCGGGCCACTGGCCCCCCCAACCCCCCCTGCAGTCAGCCTCGCCCCAGGGGCCTGGAGAGACGCCGTGTAAATAAAGCGCTTCGTTTGTAAAGCTGGGCACAGGCAGGCTTCTCGGGAGCCCTCCTCCTGGTGGGCGCGCAACAGGCCGAGCCTGGGGGCCTATCCTCGCCCCGCTCCCCTCCTGGGCGCGCGCACCCCCTCCGCGGCCCCCTCTCCCCTCCCGGATGCGCGCACCCTCTCCGCGGCCCGCTCTCCCCTCCCGGATGCGCGCACCCCCTCCCCGGCCCCCTCTCCCCTCCCGGACGCGCACACCCCCTCCTTGGCTCTGGGCCCCTACTCTTTGGAGGTGTCTTGGGCAGGAAGGCGGGCCTGCTGCGGGCGCGCACAGGGCTGGGAAGTTGCGCATGTCGGTTCCCTTTAACCCAGGGCCAGGGCTGGAACTTGGTCTTCTGGTTCTGATTAAGGATAAGCCCTGGGAGCCCAGCTTGCATGTCTGGAGCCTCGGTGTTAATTTAAAATGTATTTCTGACATGAGGAGAAGAGAGCCCCCCCCCGACCCCCAAATCCATTTCCTGAACGCACACCTTGGGCTGGCCCGTCCCGCATCGGTAGTTCTGGGCAGCACAGTTTAGACCTTCTGCCCAGAGGAAATCCCGTGGGGGTGAGGGGGAGGGCTTGCTGAAGTCCCCTCCACCTGTGGAATTCCCTTACCCTCAAGTCTCAGGTCCCTGCTGGCATCACTGCCACGTCTGGCCCTGAGGGATGCTACTTCTTGTCTCCCATCCAAGTGCCAACACACAAGCCCGCTCCTGACTTCTCCTGTATTTCGAAAGACTCTCGTCAAGGACCCAAGAGCCAATAAAAAGTCCAGGTTCTGCACAGCAATGATTCCCAAAGGGACATCCTGCATGTGTTCCAGTGCAGGGGAGGGCCCATAAACGCCCAGCGGGGCCAGTGATCCTGGAACCTGCTTTGGGAAACACTGGAATTGGGGTTAAGATAAGACTTTGGGTTCAAATTCCAGCTCTGCCATATGGTGAAAGAGTGACCTTGGGTAGGTGTCTCAGTTACCTTAATCTATAAGAAGCTCATGTGACTATGAGGGAACAGGTCAAGGTCCCCTCCCACCAGTAACATGATAAGTTTATTTCTTGTACGTTTAACAGTCCAGAGGTGGAAGATTTGGGTCTCGTGGCATAGCTGTCATTCTTAAGTTGAGGCTTCCACCTCTGGGTCCAGGGTGGCTGTTCCAATTCACCATCACCCAGCTTATTCAGCCTGCACCTCCCAACTTTTTGGGGGACAGACTGGGAAGTAGGTTGTATCACTTTTGCACACATCCCACTGGCCACTCCTTACAGTTGGAAACGTGCTCTTTAGCCAGGCAACCATGTACCTAGAACCTGTAGCCTCATTGTTGAACGGAAAATCTGCCTGGGTTCGAATCTTGTCTCTGCCTCTTGACAGTTGTGTGTTCTTGAAGGCACTCCCTTGCTTCAGTTTGCTCAGGTACAGAATGTGGATAAAAACAGTGTCCGCCTCTCAGGACTGAGCTGATGATGCTAACAGAGTTAACAGGTCATGCTGAGAACAGCACCTGACGTGAGTGATCAGTGATCACACAAGGGTAGGGTGAGTTAGGCTGATGGTGCACAATGAGGGCGTAGCCTACTTCTGACACATTCACTTATGGTTGCTATTTGCCTGTTAAACAATTTTTCTCCACATCTAAACTCATTTATTCATTCAACAAATACTTATTGTGTCTCCTGCACGCCAAGATTGTTCTACACACAAGGGAACACAAAACAAAACCCCCTTACATCCTAGTGGGGAAGACAGACACCACTACCATGGAGGATCATGGAGTAAAACAAAGAGGTTCTGGGGTGCAGCATCCTTTTAAAGGAGGTAGGAAGGAAAGTCTTTCTGTGAAGAAGTGGTATTTAAGATCCAAGGACGGTGGAGAAGTGAGCCACACAGATACCTGAGAGAAAAGGGACAGACTAGGGCCCAAGGCAGGAGTGGAGAGGAGAGGATGGTGCCAGAGAGGTAGGCGTGGGTGAAAGCAGGTCAGGTTGGGCTGTGCAGGGCACAGAAGTCGATTGCTCCTGAGCCTCCTGTCCCGAGGCTCCAGACAGAGCTTGGGGTCCCTAGCCTGTCATCAACTGACTTTGGTTGCCCCAAAGAAACCTGGGAAGGTTTCCTTGGTACCCAGGGTAGTCCATTTCCTCCTCTGCACCTGTGTGGATCATCAATGCCCAAGTCAGTGGAATAATTTTCCTAGAGTCTGTCTCCCATGAGACTGAGCACTTGTGGGGAGGGGAGCGGTGCACAGATTATCCTTTGAGTCAAGGCCTCTTCAGCTCTTCTTGTGAACATTGGCTAGAGAACCCCAACTCCCAGGGTATGGGAGAAACAGGTCTGGCAGTGTGGAGCGGGTGGCCTAAGCCAGTTTATGTGCTGCTGTCCAGTGAAGGCTGCATGGTCTGCAGGAAAGGTTTTGCCCTGTGCATAACTGGCTGGCAGGCAGGGAGCTTGGGGCGCTCAGGGAGGCCGCCCAGCACCCCACAATGGGGGCAATCCTCCCATTGGGACATTCCCCACCCTACCCTCGGCCTTCCCAGTCAGGACACTGTCCCCAGCCAGGGCACACCCTCCTAGTGAGGCACCTTCCCTAATCAGGGCATCCTCTCCCACAATCTGGACATGCCTCCTGGCTGGAGGATTCCCGACCTGGGGCATTCCCCCTAATAGGGGCAGATCCCTACCCGGAGCACTCCCAATGGAGGCAACCCTTCCCCTTGACACATCCTCCCAAGCTGGGGCAGTCCTCCCCATTGGGACATTACCCTCGCCCTCCTTAGGGCAGCCTTTTCCGTCAGGACATTGTCCCCAGCAGGCACGACCCCCCCCCCCCAGCTGGAGCAACCCTCAGCTATGGCATTCCCCTAACCGGAGCACCCTCAACTACCGCTGTCTCCCTAACTGGGCACCCCCATAACTGGAGCAACCCCCAGCTAGGGCATTCCCCCTAACCGGCACCCTCATAACTGGAGCACACCCCCGCCCAGCCGAGCACTCCCACAACCGGAGCAACCCCCAGCTTGGGCGTTCCCCCCAACTGGGCACCCCCATAACCAGACCACTCCCATAGCCGCGCACCCCCAAACCGGGGCAACCCCCTTGCTGGGCACCCCCGTAACCGGACCGCCGCGTCCCCCGCCGGGCACTCCCCCCAACCGATGCACCGCCCTCGGACGCAAGTCAGGGTCCGCCTTCCGCGAAGGCCGAGGAATCGATGTGTGTCCGGGGTTAGAGGTCAGGGGTCCTTCTCCACCCCGGCCAGCCCACCAGAGTGCCTATGGAGAACGAGAGGACGTTGACGAAAGCCCGAGGACGACGTCCGGCCGCCGCTACGGCTCCGGAAGGCCGCCCCTCCCGGCCCCGCCCCTCACCCAGCCGGCGGCGCGCCCGCTTCCGGCCGGCGCAGGCCCGCCCGCGGACGCTGCACGTCCGGCCGCAGCGCGCAGGCGCGGGCGCGGGCGCAGGCGCAGACGCGCGCGGCCGGCCCCGCCCCGCCCTGGGCCGCGAGGCGCGGGCGGGGCGATGGCGCGCGGGAGGGCGGGGCCACGCTGCGGGCCCGGGCCATGGCCGCCGCCGACGCCGAGGTGAGCAGCGGGCCGGCGGCCGCGGGCGGGGGCGGCGGGGGCGCGGGCCGGCGCGGCGGGGGCGCGCGCCGGGCGGGAGGGGCGCCGGGCGGCGGGGCGCGGGCCGGCCTCCTCCCCCGCCTCCCCCGCCGCCGCCTCAGGCCGAGGCCGGGCCGAGGCCGCCGGGCGTCCGGGCCGCGCTGCGCCGGGCGCGCTTTGTGCGGGGCGGGCGGGCGAGGCCGGCGGGGAGGACCAGCCGCCCGCGCCGGCCCGCGCCCCGCGCCGGCCCGCGGAGCGCGGAGGACAAAAGGGAAAGTGGGGCGCGCCGGCCAACTTGGGGCGCCGCGGCGGCGAGGCTGCGGTCCCGGCCGCTCCCGGCCCGCTGACCTTCCGCTCTGCTGCGAGCGGGATGGCCCCGTCTTGCCGGAAAGTTGGCGGGCCCGGCGCGCTGCTGCCCGGCGGTGCCGCCCGGCCCGGCCGCTGTCAGGGCGGGAATGCGCGACTCGGGCTCTTGCCGCCCAGCCCGCTCGCGCGGCTTCGGGTGTGAAAGTTCGCGTTCTTTTGTTAGTGCTCGTGGCCTTCGCCCGCCGCCTGTCCGGGGACAGTTTGTTTCCTTGCTGTGGCAGCGCAGGAACCGAACTCCGCTGAGCCGGACCGCGAGCGGGAGGCGCGTGCCCGGGAGGGCAGCAGTCGTGCGGTCTTGGGGCTGACATAGGGACCAGTTTGGGAAAAAGTGATGACCCAGCAGTTTTCTCGGAAATTGTTCCATGTGTCCTAGTATCGGCAGGGGCTGCTAACGGTGGGAAACCTGAGACGTGGTAAAGAGCTCTTACGGTAACCTGGTGCGTAGACTTAACACTGTATTTTAACCCAGGTAACGTACAGTCTTTTTATTTCTTTCTCTTTGTCTCTTTTTGGGAGTGTTGATATCAGTAAACTGGGAAGGTGCAGGGGAGTTCTTAAACCCGCTGCAAGGAGTATTTATTGAGTACTTACAACATTCGAGGGACATCTTAGGCTCTGGGCACAAAAAGGTAAGTTAGGTAACCCCAAGTCCCTTCGAGGCTTGTGGGAGAGATGTGTGGTGAATGATGAGGTCGCTTGCTGAGCACCCACGGTGTCCGGGGCACCGGGTGAGCCCTGTAGAGAAGTCCTCTCGCTGAGCTCTCTGCCCTGTGGAGCAGGTACTATTTCCTGCTTAGCAGAGGAGGAAACGAGACTCGGAAGAGACTGAATGACTTGGCCTAGTCAGTTACAGGACTAGCACTTGTCCTGTGTCTGGCAAATAGTAGGTTTTTAGTGTAAATAATTGGTGAGCAGATGGCCCCAGATGTCTGTGATTCCGTAGGAGCTTTGAATAGGGGCTTGACTGAGCCGATGATGACATTCTGTGCTTCCTAAGCCCTTACCTGTGTCCAACCTGCCGACCTGCCGTAGCGCTTTCT